GAAAAACCAAAAACAGGCCGCATGTGACCGGCCTCAAGCAGTTGTCCCCTGGGCTCTGCGGTCACGCAACACTAACCTTTTCTCCATTTCAGATACCCGAAGACTCAACCAACTTCCACGGTGTGCGCAGCCGGGAAGTAACAACCGCCCACACACTTCCCAAAGCACACGAAGCCTACCTGAGCATCACTCTCCCTTATTCAAATCACCTTCCTCATCTTGCTTCTCTACTACAGTTAGCACTATTCTTCAGGTTAGTGAGTCATCTTCACCTCACTCTGCGACCACAAACAACGATGAGAGTCATAGAAACACTCCAGATAGCCTTTTAAAGCCACGTCGCCAACTTCCTATAGGAGCTATGTCAAGTAACATTTTCTATCGAGGAAGGCGATGGTAAGGTATACGTAACACACGTCCTAACCATCTCAATCGATGCAACTGCTTCACAACCTCATCGATTGATTTCCCCTCCTTACCTACAGCACTTGACTGAAACCTAACCTAAATATAATGCTCACCTTATTGTACCACTTCACACGGGAGATAAAACGTAGACACCTATGATCAAAAACAGCTGTCTTTTTCGTGTCCTCCACTTTCACTGTTGTTTTGTTTTTGCGTCATCATGTGCTCTTTTAGAAGTTAATGAACTAGAAGTTTTCATATTCTATAATTGTGCATTACTGTTTTCTAAGTATTCATAGTTATGAAGGGAATAACGAATCATAAAATAAAAGTATATATATATATATATATATGCGTGTTCAATTCATTTTTGCCTTACTCTATGAAATTGTAATGAATGTATATATATATATATATATATATATATATATATATATATGAACAGGTGGTTTCATAACATCAGAAACAAACCAGTAGACTGTACGGCAGCATACCTACAATGTCTATATTTGTTTTAAACTACTTTTTTCTTTCTACTTACCTAATTAGAACTTTCATTCATTCTGTCTTATTCTTATATCTGATTATACTGTATACATCACACTAGAATTGCTTATTCTGATTAGTATTACTAACATATAAAATTATGTTTTATAATAGGGATGTGGTGTGTAACAGTTTCACAATGCTTATGTTAGTTACTATTTCAAATCTATTTGCTCTCGTTGCACGTGTTGCAATTCACTGCTGCTATTTATCATTTATTATTATTGTTTCCTTTAATTCCTAGAGGAACACAGGGCTTCAGCCGTGCGTCTCCATTGCGTTCGGTTCTCTGCTAGAGTTTTCACCTGGCTCCAAGTGTGCCCACACGTTTTCATCTCCTCTTCACATGACCTCCTCCAAGTCACCCTCACCCTCGCACTGACGACCAACTCGCCGCTTCCCGTTCAGTCGGGTTCCACTCGAGCAATGGCTTGTCTAGTGATGTCACTCACTTGATGGTTTGTTTCCTCAGAGTATGGCCAGCCAATTCATCTTCATTTCTTCCTGCCTATTTGTTTCACAATCGGTTCCTGATGGGTTGGTTCGCTCCGAGAGATCCCTATCGCTGATCTTTTCTGACGGCCATCTGATCTTGAGTATTGAGCGAAGACAGCTGTTGATGAAGTTTTGTTTGTTTGAGATGCTCTTTATGACGCGCAGTGCAAGTCTCTGATCCGTATAGTAGTACTGACTTCACTCCTGCTATGTTGTCACATAAAAGGTATTGAATGTTGTACGTTTTTATGTAGGGCGATTATTTATGTCATATGTTACGAGTGAAACACAGGGCTTCAACAGCACATCTTCATTTCATTTTGTTCTCTCCAATTGCCTTACCTCACTCCATACTACTGCACATAAGCTCTCATCTTCTCCAAGTCACTCTCAGATGCCCAACACACATCGTTTCCCATTCGGCTTCAACTCGAAGGCTTGGAGCACGCGACATTTCCAACGGTCTGTGTCCCGATCCATCTCGAATTTCTTCGGCATATTTGTTGAGCAATAGCTTCTCGGTTGGTTCTTTGCCTACTTTTCCGACTGGCTGGCTATCTGATCTCCAGTATGCGTGAGACTGGAAAGCTGTTGATAAACGTCTGCAGCCAGCTGTTGAAAATGCTTTCCATGTTACCCCCTGTTACCAAGTCTCTGAGCCATATGGAAGCATTGACTTGACATTGTTGTTGAACATCGGGATCTTGTCCTTTATGCTGAATGTAATAGATTTCTGCACTGATTTCCGAGTAGTTAAGATCTGTGTTGCTTTCCTGATCGTGACTGTGACATCTTTATAATGTGCCCCAATCGCTACAATAGATTGAGAGCACAAAAATATAAGAAGTAAATTATCTATGTATAGGTATAAGGATAAAACTTGGACACTGTGGTAGAGTATAACTCCATTATGGATAAAATTTTATTTCGATAAAATCACACAGTGTGTTATACAGTAATATTTACTGATACTGACGTTTCGAGCACAATTTATTGCTGCTCATAATCATATCAAGGCACCCCTCACACAACTTTCTTGCTTCGTTTATATACATGAGTGCATTTGCATAAAAATCAATATAAGATAAAGTACATTCAGAAATAATATCATTGTTATCAGTAAAATACAATGGGATAGAAAATGTTTTTTTTTTACAGTAAAAATAAGTAACTTGTTAGAATGCTACGATGTGAATTGAAAAATACATTTCAACATTATTTATTATCCTCCTCTGATTTGACTGGTAATAGTGTAACAACAGAAGACAAGGGTCAGGCAACAGATCGTTTATTAAGGAAAATCAACACAGTTTTTTGATTGGTTGCTTCTCACAGAAAGTTAACCTTGCATCTCTTTGTGGCTGTATCAGATCATCCATATGCTAACTGCATCCGCCTACATAAAGCCTTTGTTCTCATTTTCTCACCACCAATATTGGGGACATAAACATTGACGTCAATTACTGTCTACCAACTTTGGCTAGCAGCCAGCTCTCACCACAATAGTATCTTCCATATCTCTGGTATTTGCATTGAGTCACTTCTACTGCATGTGTTGGGTGTAGACTCGATGATCCAGGATTCAGTAATCAATCTCTCTCTTTCTCCACCTACCTACCTATATTGCTTTTTAGAATTTTGACTCTTTCCCACCCACCCTATTGTGTGATTGTGTGTTAATGCATGCAGTGCAATTGCTGAGCTGTTTTCTAAATTACTTATCTTCCCATATAGATAGTACAAATGCTTTCATTTAAACATTGTGTATGCCACTCAGCGTTTGAATTTAGCGAGTCTGTCTGTCTGTTTTCGACATAGAACTTTGCACATATGTGCGGCAATTCAAGTCGCCACACTCCATGTAGCACACAAAGCAAGAGAAGAAAGTAGGAGAAATGCATAATATAGACAGTAAACAGAGGTGTGAGACAAAGGAATAGTAATAACGAAGAACAAAACAGTTTCATTGGAAATCATAAGTCACAAGGAGTGGATGCATCTGCACCAGCCATTGAGAACGATTTTGAGCCATATCACCAATTGTTTCCAACCATTGGTTTTTACCGTCCCGAGGACCCCAACCAGTCAGGAAGTCTACACCTTCCTACGTGGCCTAGACTAACTGTTGTAGATTTCATTGACTGGTGCCATGTTTTCGTTTGACCGCCGCTAGCTCTTTTCCAGCCTGACCCTATATCAGCTAACATTGCCCGTTGTCGAGGAAGGCGATGACTAGGCCATTCGTAACACATGTCCTAACCATCTCAGTCGATGTAATTTCACAGCCTCGTCTATTGATTTTCCCTCTCACCTTACCTAGCACTCGACGCCTAACCTCAATATTGCTCACCTTATTGTACCACTTCACGCGGGAGATAGAACGCAGACACCTATGAGCTAATCTTTTCATGTCTTCCGCTCTCAATGGCCAGGTCTCACAGCCATAAAGGAGGATAGAGCGGACTGATGAGCAGGACACACGCCCTTTTGGTCGATAGTCGGATATCACGTCTACTAGCCAGAGACGGCGTAAACTGGCATATGCGAAACTAGCCCTCTGTATTCGTGCTGAGATTTCGTCAGTGTGTGTCGAGTGTGTCTAGTCACACTTTTTTTATGACTAGTGAATCTCTTCTTTATTCAAGTTTCTATTGTCATAGGAAATTTTCATGTATACCTTGATGATTCAAACTTGATATAGTTATATATATATATATATATATATATATATATGTTGTTTTTCACTAATTCAGTTTTTTACGAAACTAACATTGGTTCATGTTCACTTTTCTTGCTGCAGATTAATGGTTTATGGACGAATTGTTCGTGCATAATGTCTAAATAGAATTGAGTGTAATATTTTGGTTTTTTTTGTCTCTTAATTGTTGCTTTCTCGTTTGATACATGCTTTAATGGGTCAGACCGTAGTGATACTGTTTTCAAAAAAAAAAGTTAAGTCACGAATTAACACCAGTTAGAGAACAGCTGTGATCCAGGGAATACCGAACAGCTGTTTCGTCTTATTATTATTATTCCCTTGGGTTCTGAGTGGAACATAGAGCTTTAAAAGCACATCCCCCTTTCATCCTGTTTTCAGCAATCGTCTATAGCTGGTGCAACGATTCCCGTAAGCTTTCATTTCTTCCTCCGTAGATAATTTGCTCCATGTCACACTTGGACTCGTTCCCAATGTCGTCTTTGCGCATTCGGATTCCACTCGAAGGATTGACGTTTTCAGTTTGGGAAAATTAGTCAGTACTCTTAAATGACCCAAAAAAGAGGGATGGAAGCCAAGACTTTTTCAAGGTTACCAGGCCAGTCAAGGCTGACCACTCAGTCTCTGAAACTGAACCCATGACTTGCAACTTCATCCAATTCTTCCGAATACTCCCCTAAACTGGTGCGAAACACCAGCTGTCCAGTGCTGCCTAGTTCTCTATGTGTGATGTCAATTTGTGATTTAACTTGGAACCAATCAAATCCCTACCAAACGAACATTTGATAATAATAATAATGGTTTTCTTTCCTCTTGTTCTTTCTTTTTTTTCAAGGCGTACTCCACAGTTGGAACACCAGATTACATTGCACCTGAAGTGTTTCAGCATAAAGGTTATACAAATTCGTGTGATTGGTGGTCACTTGGTGTGATTATGTTTGAAATGCTCATAGGTAAGTTATGCATGCTATGTCGTGTTATTGTTTCATCGTCTCTTTTGCCCCGTTTTATGTGTTAATTTTCTACATGATGGTTGATAATAATCTGATTCTTGATTCAAAAACCCAGAGATTCTACTAAAGCTGATTACATTCTTTAAACATTTATTTGCCTTATTTATTTCCTATGATGAAATATTACCTATCTTCCTGCCTTACATAATCTTCATTATTGCCATTTACTAATGAATAATTTTCATTTTTTACAGTTTATCAAGTCTATAGGGGAATTTTTTTTCTCTATGGAACCAAAACAGCCCAATAGAGGTATTATTATTATTGTTTCCTTTAATTCCTAGAGGAACAGAGGGCTTCATCCGTGCGTCTCCATTGCGTTCGGTTCTCTGCTAGAGTCTTCACCTGACTCCAAGTCTGCCCACACGCTTTCATCTCCTCTTCACATCACCTCCTCCAAGTCACCCACCCTCGCACTGACGACCAACTCGCCGCTTCCCATTCAGTCGGGTTCCACTCGACCAATGGCTTGTCTAGTGATGTCACTCACTTGATGGTTTGTTTCCTCAGAGTATGACCAGCCAATCCATCTCCATTTCTTCCTGCCTATTTGTTTCACAATCGTTGGTTCCTGCTGGGTTGGTTCGCTCATTGCCAGAGATCTCTCTCTGTTGCTGATCTTTTCTGACCGGCCATCTGATCTTGAGCGAAGACAACTGTTAATGAAGGTCTGTAGTTTGCTTGAGATGCTGTTTATGACGCGCAGTGCAAGTCTCTGATCCGTATATTAAGTAGCACTGACTGACTTCACATTGGAGTTGAAAATCCGGATCTTATTTTCATTTTCATGCTGAGTGCTGTTGACCTCCACACAGACTTGATAGTAATGAAAGCTTGTCTTGCTTTTCCGATTCTTGCTGCTTTGATATCCTCGTCAGTTCCGCCGGCCTGTAGTTGAGACGATGCTCCCCAGGTCGGTAGGTAAAAGAGGTTGTTTCTTTCAGGTTCCTTCCATTTATGCTGATCGTTTGTCTGTTGTTGTTGTTCTTGTCCAGGAATCATCATTAGAGGTACACAAATGATATTATTAGTCGTCAGTGTTTAATGGTTTGTAATAGATTCACCTGTGTATAATAGCCCATTTGAAACCTAGTTTCCGTGTAGATATTTCTTCACGAACTAACATCATCTAGAGAATCCCTGAAAATCAAGACCCTGTTACGTCCTAGCTTAGGACTCTTCAGCAGTACGCCCTATTAGAGATCCAGTTGAAGATTTTCAGGTTAAAATGCCAACCCATTGACACTCTTCTACCACTGATTTGGAATATAATGACCGCCTGAACTCTAAGGCTTTGTCTTAAATTTCATGCAATAGTAGTGGAAGTGAATTATGTACAGTCCATTATTTATTTGGTTAAAATAACCTACTAACTCAGAACTTTGCACTAAAAGGTATCATTTCAAGTTGAAGGAGTGTAATGAAGCTATAATAGACGAAACCGTTGGTTGGAATTCAGTTATACTGTGCCGGTTTGTGAGGGCTACTACTGCTCAGTTTCCGAGGCTGAAGTAGGTGGAGGAGAATTCAATCCTGTGAACCAAGGTGATGTGATGTTACTCAACAATAACTGCTTGGTATTCTATGAAGTTGGCAGTGAGCCACACCTATTATTTGAGGGCTAGTGACACTACCTGACTGCCCAGATAGATCTTGGTAAGTGGGGCGGGACTCAAATCCGTGACCCATTGGTTGGAATTCGAGTGCATAAGCGACTCATCCATCCACTGGGAAACACTGTTCGAGAAGAAGAAGATGAATGGCTAATTAAAGGAAAATGAGGTTTTTTTTTGAATCTAAAAGATCTACTTTATCTACCTCAGTTTATTGTCCAGTTCATTTTGTCCCATAGTTGTGTTTTCGTTCGTTATCTCATTCTGTGAAATTGCAGTTTTTCTATGTGTACTCACATACATACATACATTCCTGGTATTCAATGCAAAAATCCCACTAATCGGTAAATTATTCTACCATATTTATCATTTTCTCACAATATTATCATTGCGCTTGTGTGTTTACACAACTGATCGTTGGTGTTGAACAAATAAATTCTGTTTGTCTTACTTATCTCAGATTTTTAATACACTAAGTTTTCATGGATAGTATTTCTTTGCTATTGCGCCCACAAATGTCTACCATCCTCCTGTGTAAACAACTATCACTGTCACTAAGCTTACAGTCTTCTCTTATCTCTCTATCCAAGTCTAAAAGTCAATAGAGCTGTGTGAGCTGATTATAGGGATCTTATTAATCTTAACGATAGTTAGTGTGTTGATATCAGTCGAATGTAGGTGTAGTCGAATAGACGAATCAGATTGAAAACCATGAAGTACTGGACAGATTTGTGATCTGTGTTAGTATTACTCGCATATATCCCCCCTCTTCATTGAGTAACATTAGGATAGTCGAATTTCGAAATTATCGCCTATTTCCATTCAACCACCAAGTTGGGTTTTTGACACTCCATGTCTCCCAACTTCTATCAGTTCATTGTGTAGCACTGACTTTTAGCCAACGGGGATCTCCCTCAACCTACTTCAGTCGGAGCAACTGGTTAGTATCATCAGCCCTCATACAATATGTGTGGCTCTCAAACCCAGGTACACGTAAGACAAGGCCTCTTCTGGGTAATTGAATGATCTGATAAATAGATAGGATTACATAGCGTACGGTTATCTCTTTGATCAGTATTGTTTGGTTTTCATGAATAATCTCCACTCAGGCATTCATGAAAAGTACAAAACAATTAGTTCAGCGGAGAGGCTCTTTTCGATAAATTTATTTTCTGTAGTTGTCCAATCCAATTTATATACAGTTTTTTTTCACGAAAGAGGATAGTCACAAAAAAGTGATGAGTTGTCATAAATGTAGTTGTTAAACACTAATCAATGCATAAGAGAAGCTGAATAAGTTTATTAGAGTTACGTAATAAGTTGAATAATTTAAATAAATGAGTTGTAATCAGGATGCGTCGGTGGCATAGTGATTAGGACGCTCGCCGACCATGCACATGGTCCGGGGTTCGATCCCCAGCCAACGCACTCCTTTACCTCGCTAAGCCAGAAATAATGCTGGTGAAGAGGAAAGGTTGGGCATGAGGCTAGCAACCCCATCCTGTAAAATAAACACTGCTACAGAAACTTCAAGCCACTAGCTTGAAGCCCTATGTTCCACTGGGGGACGTGAAGGATAAAAACAAAATCAGGATGCACATAGAGACGAAGGCGAATATGGAATTATGTAGGGGGTTTTAATGAGATATAAAAGTTATAAGAAGTTAAAAAACAGACAAACAAACAAAATCAAGTTAGTAGAAAACCAGTTTCAGTGTAGAAGCGGTTGAATAATTTTCTTCGGTGTATAGAGCTCCGGTTCCTCTCTCTTAAATGACTAGAGCTTCTAGATTGCAGAGAAGACAAAAGCATATTGTCTTTGGCAGGTCTTTCTTCACTTTGTAGATTACTTTGAAGGCTGCGACTATGCACGTTTTAATGTTCTTGAACTATGCATATAGTCACAATAGAGTAAAGGTGTTGGGAAGTAGTGTATTCCAGTGGAAAGCGAAAGGTTAATCACTGAGTTTTTATTCATCGAGTCAACAGCTAGATTACGTAACACCATTTGCACATACATACGAAAGAATGCATCTGGGGGAGGGGGAAGCTAACTATACATATATATATACGTCTTATATGGGATTATACTTTACCACAGTGTCTGAATTCTAATCGTATATTAACTTTCAAAGTAGTAGTATTAGATTTACAATAAACGTTTGAAATAACTTTCTTTTTAACATAACAGCATTAATATTATTAATTATTTATTTTGGAAATTTAAATAAACACCATTTTGTATTATTGATATAAGTATAAAACTTGGGCACTGTGGTAGAGTGTAACTCCATTATGGATAAGATTTTATTTTGATAAATCACACAGTGTTACACAGTAATATTAACTGATGACGTTTCGAGCACAAATTATTGCTGCTCATAATCATATCAAGTCACTCACACAACTTCTTTCCTTCATTTATATACATGTGTGGAATTGACTAGATATTTGAATAAAAATCAATATGAGATAATGTACATTCAGAAATAATAATATGAGTGTTATTGATCAATTACAATTAGATGGGAAATACGACGAGTGTTTTTATAGTCATAATAAGTAACTTGTTAGAATGTTGTGATGTACTTGAATTGAAATAGAATTTTGAGATTATTTATTATCCTCCTCTGATTTGACTGACTGGTGGCAATAATATCTTCCATATCTCTGGTATTTGCGTTGAGTCATTTCTGTTGCATGTGTTGGGTGTAGACTCAATGAACCAGGATTCAGTAATCAATCTCTCTTCACCTACATAGATTACTTTTTAGAATTTTAACCCTCTCCCACCCTATTGTGTGGTTGTGTGTTAATGCATGCAGTGCAATTGCCGAGCTTTTTTCTAAATTACTTATCTTCTCTGGGTCAACCATTCTTACCTTAGCTAAATTCTTATGTTCTGACAATCTGATTACTCCTGACCTACTAGTTTGACCTATGTAGTTGACCTCACAGTCATTGCAGGGTATTTTGTAAATTATATTATTTTGTCTAATTGGGTCCACTGGGTCCTTTAACCTACAGAGCTTGTCCCTGAGTGAGTTTGTAGGTTTAAATGCCACGCTAATTCCTGCTTTATTTAGAATCCTACGTAGGGTTTCAGATGTCCCCTCCTTATATGGTATAACAGTAGATGACTTATATTCTCTCTTATTTATGTTATCATTACTAGTTTCATAATTATTTTTATTTTGCTTTTGGCTTTTTTCGATCTTCCTAATGAATTTTATGGGATAGTTATTTAACACCAACGCCTCTTCTATCTGTTTTATTTCATCATTTAGGTCTTTTCTTGTGCTACTTAGTGCCATTGCTCGGTTTGTT